TGGAAAGAGAAAGAAAAGAGAGTGAGAAGGAGGATGAGGAGGAGCAAGAGGGAAAGGAACAAGCTCAGCAGCTTCCAGTCTCCCTATCCTTCATCCTCTGACCAAGCTTCACCTGGAACCTGGTACATATCATGTTTAAATGAGCCAGAACTCCACACGTCCACAGGTTTGATTTGAGATATCACATATCGTTTTGCTATGGTTGGCTAACAAACTTTTGTGGGTGTGGTCAAACCCATTCAACATGCTCCAACTCTTCAATGCTTCATCTAATCACAACCAAATTTGGCTCAACTGAACAGACTACAAGTAAGACTGCCACTAGGGGTCGCTGTGGTAACAAAGATCTCGGTGCAGTTAATTTAGTTTTACCTTCAGTCAGACTCAGAGACAGATGATTGAAAACATAATTATGAGAAACATGTTTTTTCCTCCCTCTTCCCCCTCTCACCGCAGTGATTGGTTGATGAGGATGTGTGCAGCTGAAAACGCATGTTCAACATCCTGCAGTAATAATCAAAAAAAACACTGAGAAATAAACGAGTACACATTAAATAATAAGTTCAGTAAAGCAGTGCATTCTCCAAAATGCATCTGTATGATCAGGTTTGTGTCGACACGGGAGAATTTAATTTTACTATAAAAACTTACATTCAATTCTCTCAATGGAAAAGAAAATGATGCTAAAAAGATAAAAAACTCACCAAACTAGATGACCTATCTAAAGCTAACTGGCAGCCTGTTAGCCACCTGTGTGAGAAGTTTGAAACTGTCCCTCACCCAGTGACATCCAGCTGGAATATGATCCTTTTCAAACAGCTGATCAGGTCACCCTCCATTAAGATCCATGACTGGTATGTAGATCCTGGACACTGTACAACACTGAATACAACCTGTGTGTTGATGGTGTGATATGAGAGTGTGAGTTCCATCTGTGGCACCGATCACAGCGAGTAGACCAACCATGAAGCTGCTGTACTTCTCTGTAGTTGTTGAATATCCAAAGGAAATCATATGAATTGCATTTTCTCTGTTGCCAAGTAATGCAGCGTTGCCAAACGCTAAATTTACGCATTGATCGGGTTGTTTCAGTTGGAGATGTTGTTACATCTCTCAAACTCCACAGCGATCATTATTCCCTCCTGATTGAGTCGTATCTTTTAAGTTATTCAGCATTGTTTAAGGTTTCCAGAACATTGTGACGTGGAATGACAGCAGCTCTTTAAGAGTCTTTATGATTTGGTCTTAGTGAGTTAGGAGTCCTCTCCACTGCTTCTAACTTCTCCCAGACTTAGGAGCTACTTTTAGCGCTAAGTGTCTTTGTGAATTACTCTTAGTCAGAAAAATGAGGAGTCCTAAAGTTAGGACTGACTCCTTCTAAATCAGCAAGTTAGGAGCTTCTGTTGCCTTAAGCTGCTTTGTGAATACGGACCCTGGTTTTTAAATGTGCTGCAAACAACTGTCTGTCTTTATATCAGCCTGACGATGTGCGTTCACATTAATAAAGGTAAACGTGGCACAGACTGTATCTAACAGGTGTGAACACCACTTGACTGAGCGGCAGCTGACTCACTGCTCACTCTGCCTGAAGACACATCATATGATGTGTTACCTCATCAAGAGAAAAGAGGGGTCCACCTCGGGGGGGTAAGGTCTCAATGGAGGTGACGGGGTTCTTCTGCTGCCCCTCAGCCTGGCTCATCACCTGCACACAGACAGTAAATTGTAACCATGGTAACCACAGCATCGCAATCATCACTCACTGTTTCAGAGAGCAGGTGATCCGTCTCCTGCTGCTGAAGTTTGATCACATCAGACTTTTACCACAGGAAACAGAGAGGAGGCCGAGACTGACGCTGCTGAGATCAACACCCTCTGCAGCATCGCTCGCTGCTTTAAAGGAGCTTTAGACGACCAGATCACCACCGATCTATATCATATGGAAATCTGAATCTGTATCAGTATGCAACATATTTATAATTAATGTATTTTAGAGAAAATATTTGAGAGACAAAGAGACAGAGAGAGAGAAGGAGAGACAAAGAGACAGAGAGACAAAAAGGGCGGAGAGACGAGTGTGTGATAGAGAGATGATGAGCTTTCTCTGACTGCAGCTGTGATTACTGTGTCACACACACACACACACACACACACACACACACACACACACACACACACACACACACACACACACACACACACATACACACACAGTTTCCTCTGTCTGTATCCCAGAGACTGTATACTTCATTATCACCTGATCTCCAGTCTCAGTCACATGAACGTCAGACTTGAAAATAACTGGAGTTGCAGGACTTCACCTGCCTGTGTTTAAGTCAGTTAGAGTTAGTTAGAGTTAGTTAGAGTTAGTTAGTTAGAGTTAGTAGAGTGGCTGTGTTTCTGGCAGGTAAAGATACCTGTACAGGTACAGATTCGTAGGTAATCTGGTATCAATATTTCTGGACCTTTAGAGGTTGATCCTCTTCATCTTTCATCTCCCATCAGGTCAGAACTTCTTCATCAAACCTTTTCATTTATGATAAACACTCAAAAGCTAATGTTCATCCATGATCTCCAGTGAATGAATCTAATGATTAACTAAAGACACTGGACACAGTCTGATGGGCAGACCGCTGTGAAGCTCTGCTCCCCGCAGGATGAACCTTTACAGCTGAAGATTTCCCTCAGCTCACCCTCACATACATTCCACACAAGCCATGTCACCTAACTCGTGCCGATCGTCATGAAGGTTTGCTGATCGCATTCCTGTTCGCAACTTCAAGCATTTCCTCCTAGACTCCACCTTCAGAACAATCTTTACATTTGATCCACACCACTCTCCATGCCAACGCTCTGAGAACAGTCAGACTGTCAGATTTTCTAATTGGAGAACGTCACATCACAGTTTAGAGGCTGTTATGAGGGTTTGAACCAGTGATTCCCAACCTGTGGGAGGTGTTGCAAGTGGGCCGCCAAGTCATTTGCAAAACAGTACAGCGCTGTTGAAAAAGTATGATTACAAAAAAATGTTAATATAAAAACAGTTTTTAAAATGTTTTAAACCAGAATGATCTTTAAAAACATTTTTTAAAAACTCCTTTCATTGTTTTTGGTATTTCTGTTTTGTTTTGTTTCCCCGGTGATGAGCCAATGATAGTGATGATAGTTGGTTAGCAACAGGAAGAATTAAAAGGAAAGAGCTGAGAGACAGATGGTGATCTCTCCCCCCGTCAAACAAAAAAGAAAAAGTTGATGCGTCTTTTAAGTTATGTGATGAGGTGCAGGTGTTTTTTCTGGACACAAAGTCCAGGCACATCGCTTCAGTAATTTTGGGTGGTTGGCTACATCGGGTTACCTAGACGATATTTTTAGCCAATTAAATGGACTTCACCTGGGCCTCCAGGGAACAGCAGCGAACGTGTTCAATGTGCAGAATAAAGTCGAAGTTAGAAAACTGGAGCTGCGGGTTCAGCGAGTCGACCAGTCAAATTATGACTCGATTTTGTGACAGGAAGGAACAGATTCAGGTTCCCATCTCCATGACCAAAGCTATCAATGAGCACCTGCAAGGTTTGAAGACCCAGCTGCGCGAATACTTTCCCCATCCCAGATGCGCAGTACAGATGGATAGAAAAAAGCAGTTGGCCAGGCACAGTGACGAGGTCCTCGCAGCCCTGAGCTAAAAAGAGCAAGAAGGTCTTGTGGCTCTCTCCTGCGACACCGCACTGAAACTGGTTTTCTCACAGAAGTTCCTGACAAAACATCTGGCTGCATGTTGCTTCAGAGTGTCCCGATCTGTCCGACAGAGCAGCGTGGGAAAGACGCATTAAAAACTAAATGTAGAAATAAACTGACTGTTGAGCCAGATCCTCCACTGAGACTGTCATCCATTGTGCCAGACATCAAGCATTCGGTGGCCGCTGTGCAACATCAGCCATCTCATTAGGTGAGTCAGCATATTGTTGACCTATTGTTGAACCGATCCACTGCAGCTCTATAATTATAAATAACTAAGAGTGCAATGTTTTAATTTAATTTTTTTGCAATTGTTGCTTTACTTATTTAAATATTTTTCTTCTGCTTATGCCTACACGCTGAATGTATAATCACAGTATAATCACATTAAAGGCTTATCAATTTGAATCAGCTGTGGATACGTGTTAGGGATGAATGTCCCTGTATGAGCCAACAGTGGATGTTGCATACAGCGCAAAAGCACAAACACATACCGTCTTTCTGTGCAGGGAGCGGGAGGGAAATCCACTGGAAATGGACTGTTGTTTTAAAAAACCATACAGTCTTCATATTGTTGGCAGTTTTATAAAAAGCCACAAGTAAGAGTTCAATGTTGTAATTTTGTTTCTTTGCAATAATGGCTGTTGCTTGTATTTAAGTTTGCTCTGGCTATGCCCGTGCTGAATTTACAGCAGAAACCTACAGTGGTTTTATGTTTGTTTAAAGGCCTATCGATGTATTTCTCATTTGTTGAATGATACCGTTATAATTTGTAATAATTTATTTGTTAATCAGCCTATTGCAGACAGCCTGTTTTATGTAGTGCTGATGGACAGCTCCTTGAAAACTCTGTAATACTGAAAGTGTTGCAACATTTTTCGGATGCTGTGTTATTGACTGTGGAGCTTCCGACCTGTTTCCCCTGCTGTCCGCGGCATGTTTGCCCGTTATTATTACAATAAAAAGTGCTCTGAGAACACATTATTTGGCCTCTGTTATGGGGTCGGATGTGGGCCGCCAACATTTTTGACATTTTCAAGTGGGCCGTGAGTTGGAAAAGGTTGGGAACCCCGGTTTAGACTTTTACTGCTGTTGTACCTGTGAATGGTTCATTAAATAGTGGAAGAGTGGAAAAGTGGTGAAACTCCGGTGATGTTGTTTCCATCAGGCCAAACTTGGTCGGACTAACAGGCCTAAGTAGTAGGTGGAAAGTGTGTGTGTGGGTGTATGTGTGTGCGTGTGTGTGCGCGCGTGTGTGTGTGTACCTCAGCATTGCTGTCAGAGTGGCGTCGGGAACACAGCTGTAGCTGAGTCATCCATAACTCTTGCTCCTTGGCGTCCAGTGCTAAGAGAACAGAGACACAGTGTCAGTATCAGAGGTCAGAGGTCACCTATGCATCCAGGGCACACTGGTTACTGCCAGTGTGTTCACTGTCAAGTAGAAGGCTTTGCCTGCCATTCTGATTTCTGCTTTTTCTAAGTGTCAACAAATGTCTTGTCCAAAATACACATCAGTGATCGACAATACACACACTGTAGTTTGACTCAGTCCCACACACGCTCATTAGCGGCTAATTTGATACAAGCTACGGCTTGTTAGTCTTATTAGTAAAATAAAGTGGATTTTCACTTTGTGGAGACTTTTTAGCTGTCAGTTAACATCGGTCTCTTGGAAAGGTTTCACCCATAAGGAAATTGTGTGTGTTGCTGTATTTGGGATGGATGGATGGATGGATGGATGGATGGATGGATGGGTGGATGGGTGGATGGGTGGATGGATGGGTGGATGGATGGGTGGATGGGTGGATGGGTGGGTGGATGGGTGGATGGATGGATGGATGGATGGATGGATGGATGGATGGATGGGTGGATGGGTGGATGGGTGGATGGATGGATGGATGGATGGATGGATGGATGGATGATCAAATCTGGACCAGATTTGATCAGTAAAAAGTGTTTTTGTTAAATAACCAAATGATGATCATGTGATTGATACAAATCAATGGCGATTGCTCTAAGACTGCAGGGGAAGCTCAGCTTCCCCTAAAATGTCAACAAAATAAGTGGTCAAATATGTGCTGTTGTGTGTACATTTCATTGACTAAATATGCGCTACAACACAATCAGCTACTTATCACAGGTAACCGACACGACTTCCTTCTCATTCATCCCCGCAGCGCCACAGTGCTTTACACAGTGTAGACGCCGAGCGTCTACTGACTTCAATGGGGAAACACAGAGTGGGTTGTTCCACTGCAGCGAAACTAGACGGTCATTGGATAAATACTGGGCTTTGTCCCGCCCATCGGACGCTCAGCGTCTCTGGGGGTCTATGGGGCAGTGGGCTGGCCTGGACGCTCGGCTTCTGCATGATGATTGGATGATCTGTCTGAGGCTGAGTCCCTTTTTGATTGACAGCGAAATGAGCGAATCAGCGATCTTGAAGTATAAGCATCCACCGGAGCATTTTTCAAGTTTTTCATTCCGTTGTTCGGAGTTGATCTGGAGACGTTACTGATCCTCAGCGACTTTGTCTTTGTTAACGACTAGCGTTGTGTTTGGCGACTCTCTTCTGTCACTGCGAATTTACATATAAATAAACAGACACATTTTATGATGAAGGCCGAAAATGAGCTTCCCCTCCTTATAAGAACAGCAGCCGCCACTGATACAATTGTACAGATCATATACATTTCAGTGTAAACCCTAACTGAAGACATTACAGCCATGTTTTTCAGTAATGTGTCTCACACACATGACAGAGAAGACACACATTAATCTGTCACACGGGCTGTGTAACTGCTCTCTACGTACGTGACCTGAGGCACATTTTTATAATTCAAGTCTATTTCCTTTTGTTTTAGTTGCATAACAACAGTGACTGTGTTTTGGGCTCTGAGTGCTGGTGACCTACACTCACACTGTGCCTGAACGCCTCCTGTGTGGACTCTGATGGAGGACTGAAGCTGCTGCTCACACTACACCTCCTCTGTAGACAGGATGTTAGACTAAATCTAATCAGGTCTGGTTTTAAATCCACTCTCCTTCCTTCCAGGCAGCCATAATTTTAAGTTCATTTCAGAACGCCCTCAGAGTCTCAGAGTCCTCTATCACAGGCTTATGACAGCTAAGGAGAGACTATTTTGAAAAATCTTTTAAAGTTTATTTAGAGTCTTTGAAGAACAGGAAATTCTCTGGTACTGTATCTACATCATGTTCCTCACAGTTGTATAGTATCTTTCCTCTGGATTGCACTACTTATATGCAAATGTAATATATATACATATATTCAATTTATATGACATATATGTAGGCTACATATAAAATAAAAGCACAGATATAAAAATCATATATGGAACCTATTAGTAATTGGAATAATTTCATATATTGACATATATGTTTAGCCAATACAAATATGTAACTCAGTTACTTAAATGCATGTAAGTGTGCTGGTTATTATATAAGTCTCCCAGTGAAACACACACACACAGACGACACACACTGTTAAGGAGCACATGAGCCCAGACCTGAGTTCCCTTTGTTTCAACCACTGGATGGTTGAAACAAGGGTCAAACAAATATGTTTGTTTATACATGTATGTTTATATTGTAGACATATGTTATGTAAATATATATCCATCCCAAAGCCTGTCAATATCTGTTGATATTATACTGTAGGTTCCAAAAGTCTGAGACCACTTTTCTAGAATGGGAATGAATTAATAAGGAAAACTTATATAAGAATATAGAATTTGTATGTGTATGTTATTTTAATAAATACATATATAAGTTAAATATATATTTAATTTAATATATTGTTAAAATATATGATCGGAACATCTTATACCATATAAAAATTCATGATATAGACATTTTTAATATATGTACATATACAAATTTTACTTTGGTATATGTTATAAACTTATATGTTTATATATCCAGAGCATGTATATATGTGATAATAATACATCCCCTTATAGCTGACATGTATGGAAACATCACTCTTGATATAGGGACATATACTGTATGTCACATATTACATTTCTGTCTGGGCAAGCAAGAGTTTTAATAATAGTACACAGTTGACACAACTTCACTATGTCTCTTTCTGCACAAGACATGAAGACTCTGTCTCTCACCTCTCAGTTTGTAGGAATCACCAGTGGTGGACTGAAAAGTGAACATGAAGGGAAACTCATCACTGGAGACCACCATCGCTCCAAGGAGAGGCAGAGACCCTCGGGGAGGTCGCTGGCTTTTACTCAGTTCATTTAGATAATACTGGAGCTGACCCAGTTCTGGGTCCAGGACAAAATATCTGCAGGAGACAGAAGGGAGAGAGATGAGACGGAGAGGACACAATAAAGTGATCAAAAGACATTAGGTGACATTCTAACACATTACACGCTTCACGTGATGCCAAACAGATAGTTAGTGTTTTTGAAAGGTTTGACTTTTGAATGAAGCTCGTTAATTAAGGGTATTGTGATGGTGGGACATGGTGGTTTTACTTTGTAGTTTTAATTGTAAAATTGTAAAAAAAGGTTTTCATTGAATCTACATGTATTTTGTTCTTTATTTACTGAGACAACAAGTCATTATGCAGCTGGACTGCACTTGGTTCTGACCCAACACACTCACTGTGAGTGAAGGAGAGCTCAGCAGTAGGATTTCAACGAAACAGGAACAACATGATGATGTATTGTGATGTATTGTAGTCATCTTGAACCAGAAACATTTGCTTTAGCTGAGATTCAACTCCACAAAGAATAAAATGTAAAACACAACAGTACTACTCATAGAATATTATAATATGTAGCCTGTATTTTACAATAGTAAGTGCGGAAACAAAAAGGACAGATGTAATATGACAAACCAAATACACAAATAAAGAGTGCGCGCAAACTCCATAAAGACTGAATTAAATCATCTTTTCTTCTTTAAATCTTTTATTTTGGGTCTTTTGTGAGTTTTTTTTTGTTGTTTTTACAAACCATTAAACAGATAGCAGGTAATAAGGTATGAATGGTTCCACAATACACAATACACAAGCATTCAACTACATCTCATTAGTCATTCATTCTGCTCCAGTCGATGAATCCCAGCAGCTCGTCCAACATCACACTGAGCCTCATAATTCATATTCTGTCATTTGCAGTGGCTGTTACACTTTAATGACTGTGTGTTTTTGGGTTTGCATTGTTACCCGTTTTGTTGGTTCATTAAAAAGACTGAAGACTGAGTGATGTCTTTCTCAGCTCTACTCCTGTTCCTCTCTGTCTCTGTAATAAGAAAACTTGACAGTTCTCCTTTTAATCTTTGAATTCAGAGACATGAGCACATCACTGTAACATCCTCAGCAGCGTGATGACTCCCTCATCAGAGGCAGGAGTGCATCCACTGAGGCTGACTGTTGAGGTCTGGTTGTAATATTTCAACACAACCTTCTTCACTTCCTGTTCACTCTCACTTCTCTCACACACATAAACAACCTCTGTGAATGCGATATTGCTCAGTCAGCATTCTTCACTCATGATGAGAGAAAGGACAAATCCTCTCCATCTCACGCTGGAGCTCATATGCAGCCCACTGAGGACTGAGTGATTTTACCCTGGAGACTTTAATATGTGAGCAGCTTCTCTGAGCACAGATGAGAAACCACTGATGGAGGGAGAGAGGGTGATGGATGGATGAAGAGAGAGAGAGGAAGAGGACAGACAGGGTGATGCAGGGACGGAGAAAAGAAGCACAAATGTTTAATGGAAAACAAGGAAACCAGCATTGAGAGGAGAGAGACCACTATGAATAATTTACATATGTTTTCACACAGCAAACTGTTTCTACCACTGCGGTCATGTGACCGTGTCATGTGACTGTGTGGTTTGCAGTGGAACATCAAGTGGATCCAGCTCTCATCCAAATGTAAATGATCAGCAGCACAGGCGTGAAGCAGTGAATAATCTCCTGTCTACATCATATGTGTGTGTGTTTGTACTTCTATCTTTGTGAGGACTCGTTTGAGTTGTAGACCTTACTGTGCGAGGACATTTTGAGCGGTTCTCACAACTTCAAAGGGCCGTTTGAGGGTTAAGACCTGGTTTTAGGTCCAGATTCAAGAGGCCCTATCGTGCTTTTCTGACTTGCTCCTTTCCTATAGTGTGTAATGTAGCTGTCTGTGCATGTAAATGGTCTACAGAGTCGCAAGGCTCAAAGACCACATCAAAGGGAGGAGTACCTCTGTCAGGGAAAAACTCCCTTTTCTCATTTGCAACAAACGCCTCTTGGGGGTCCAGGACTTACTTCATAGACCAGGGGGATTCAGTTCAAATTCAAAGAGGCCCAGGTAGACAAAAATTCCTCAAGCAAAGGTCTAAAATGTCGGTTCTTCTCTATATAACTAAATGTTCTTTTAGCACAGACATTAACTGCTGTAATAAGTAATAACTACAGAACGGAGCACTTTTAGAAATATATAATAAAGTGCTGAATTTTACAAAATGAAATAAAAAGGGTAACTTGATTTTTTTTTTATTTTAGTAGACACCAAGAATAAAATGATGAACACAACAGATTGCCATAATAGGTCTTCTTTGAGGTCAGGGTCAGTTGTTTGGACCGTCCCAACAGTTTCTTCTCAAAGTGAGGGAGAAGTGGTTCAACGCCAGCAGCAGCCGCCAGCACAACCACTACTGCAAACCTGAGGTCACAACACCTGCTGCTACAGATTCAGTTCATGAAAATCACAAACAGAATAGATGAGAGTTACAAATGGAGAAACATATAAGAGCAAAGGTAAACCGTACAGTTGATACACAGAAATATACAGTGAAAAGACAAAGGTAGAAACTGATGGAGATTGTTTAGAAAGAAGATAAATAAGAGTTTGAAAAGAGATGTAAGGTGAAATGACAGAACAACGGAAAGAACTGAAACAAACTCCATGTTCACAGCTCACAGCGGGCAACGCAACCTCAGTGCCACCACATGACTGATGTCAACAAGTGAGCACACAAGGTGTAAAGGCCCCATTCCTCATTGTCCTGATGCATTAATCCTGAAGTCAAACAACCCTGAAGAACGTCCTCACTGACAGAACATCAAGACTGTTAACAGGGGAGTCTGACCCACTGTATGAACCACTGTACCAGAGAGTGGCGCCCATCTGTAAAGTAGTAGTTATTATTATTTGTGCAATTTTACATCTTTATTTTATAGAAACAGTGAAGACAGACAGGACATGTGGGGAAAGAGGGCAGGGGAACGACCCTCCATGGAAGACCTCTGTACCTAATTTCCTCCTTCATGACAACGGTACGGAGGGTGAATCTTTTTATAACTCACCTGTTTACATTTTTATTAAGTTCTGCATAATTGAGGGGGTGGCCTCTTTGAGTGACAGGTGGGTGAGCGTATGTTTGCTACAAGCTGTCATGTCCATGAAGAGACGTTAAGTTATGTTTAGTTTTGTCTGTCTCGTGACTTCTTGTTTTATTTTGAAAACCTAACTCTCCTCTCGTTTCAGGTAACTTCCTCCTTTCCCTTGTGTGTTTCCCACTGGTCTGATTGTCTGCCCCCGCCCTGATTGTTTCCACCTGTTTCCCATTACCTTGTGTGTGTATATAGTCTGCGTTTCCCTTTGTTCTGTGCCAGTTCGTCTTGTTGTCTTGTCAGAGAACCATGCCAGCCACCTTGTCCCAAGTCAGGTTTTGAGTTCTGTGTTACGTTCTTTGCCTTTGTCCTGAATCTTTGTTGGTTTTCCACGAAAGAGTGTTTTTTTTTTTGTTGTACAGTTTTTTCTCTCTGTGAGTGATTTTTATTTGGGTACTTTGAATATATATTCCTCGCTAAGAGTGATTTTTCTTTGATACTTTGTTATTAAAATATTGTTAATTTGTACTTTGTCTCGGAGTCGTGCATTTGGGTTCAAGTCCTAGTTCAGTTGTGATACAAGCCACCGAAGAGGCTACGTCCATCTTTATTTACAGTCTGTGAGATCAGCTCTTCGGGTCGGAGAAGGCTGGTTCCTTGTCTGACCAATGTTTATTCTGACACATTTACTGAAAGGAGAGAAGGCCGTTTGGTAGATTATGAGATTTTCTGATTTAAACCCACCGTGTTTTCTCTTAGTGTTGCCTAAATAGACAATACTTGTTAGTTGGATCAATTCATTGTGGTTTAGGGTCAATTGTAAAATAAGTCTTGTCCTTTAACACAAACAAATGGGAACTCTACATGATTTGACCTGATTTACTTAACTAGTTCATCACAGTGCTCTACACTGTTTCTATCAGTGGCTCTAACTCTGAAGTAAAGAGGTCACATTGATGCTATGTTTTAACTGGTTTTTGTTGAAGTAGCCAGAGCAGCAGGACTCCAAACAGACCTGAGAAGAAGAACAACTGTGTATGGGAGCATGATGGTCTCCAGGTTAGAGGCAAAATGGACAGACATTAGTGAATCAGATGAAAACTGTGAGCTGATCTGGTTCATCTGAAGTCAGGTATGTCAGGAAACAATGTGAACATGTCGAGTCATTTATGACTCTGAAAGCGGAAGGAGACTCAAACAGACTGGAAGGCAGGTCCCTCTCCCCACAAGCAAGCAGCCCCTTCCTGGAATATAGGACCATGTCAAAGCAATAAGTAATGCTATCAATGTTCTGCCTTGATGGATTTTCATATGTGTCTGTGTGTGTTTTGTTGTTCGCGAGGCGCAGATTAGTGACGTTTTATTCCTCCATGCCAGCAACAGCCAGGGCCGCTGTTCAGGATGTCTGTATGTCTGTCTGTCTCATTATTCTGAATGACATACCATAGTAACGTCTTGAAGGAATTTCTTCATATTTAATAAAAATGTCCACTGGGACTCAAGGATGAACTGATTAGATTTTGGTGGTAAAAGGTCATGGTCAAGGTGACCTCAGAAAACATGTTTTTGGCCTCTTGAATGTGATATCTCAAGTCTGCCTTGAGGGAATATCTTCAGATTTGGTCAGTCTCCTCTTCCTGAGTTACAGTGTTGAATAATGACCAGAGGAGTGCTTTTGCAGAACATTATGATGTCACAGTGAAATTGACCTTTGACCTTTTCGATATAAAATGTCATCACTTCATTTTCATCATTTTATCCTGTTAGACATTTGTGTTACATTGTGTGATAATCAGCGTATGAATTTCTGAGTTATGGCCAAAAACGTGTTTTGTGAGGTCACAGTGAGATTGACCTTTGACCAACAAAATCTAATCAGTTCATCCTTGAGTCCAAATGAACGTTTGCGCCAAATATGAAGGAATTCCCTCAAGGTGTTAATGAGACGGACGACAACCTGAAAACATAATGCCTCCAGCCCTGACTGTCCTCCAATGATGGATCATGACCAAAAACATGACCAATCAGAAACAAAGTGTCTTCAACAATTTACAAACTCCTTCTGACAGACAGCAGTCTGTCCCTACTGGTCAGTGATTGGAAACAAAAAACACCTTACTGTTACCACCAGTACCAGTTTTTGGAAAGAATCTGCAATAACATTTTCTCCATCACCAAAATACATCTGATCCAATATAAACTAGCAGCACAGGAGAGTTACCCATTACAAACTCACTGACAGTCAGACCTGTGCACAGAGCACACTAAACACCACTGATGAACCGTCTTTCACTTTCCAGTCTCCACATCTCTGACTCATACACACAGCTTTACTCTCCTCCCCTCACTCCCTTCAACATCACCTCCTCGAGAAATATCATACACTCATATACCGGAAGAGGCTCCCCTTTTAGGGACTGGACCTGAAACGGACCAACACCCTCTCAAAGGTCTGGGGGTAGCCAAGGGCAGAAACATCATTGAACCAAACAGTCTGACCTCTGCCCTGTGGTCCCCTCTCAGCTGAGCCCGCTGCTATCCAGATATGACATCATCACTGTTGCAGGTCTATATACCAGTGGCGTAGGCAAAAATTTTATTTTGGGTGGGCCAGTATAAAAAAGTCTTATGAAAATTTAGATTCAGAAAGAAGGAAAAACGGCAATAATTTTAATTTGAAGCACTCTGAAAATGCAATGAACTGCCTATAAACATGCTCAACCAACAGAGCTCATTCTTTAAAGGCTGCACACAACAGTAAACAAAAACCTGTCTATTATATCGTTTGGGATACAAGCTAAAATATATTTTTACCTCCAGAACCAGCAGTGCAACGGCTGTACATTAAGCAGCACTGTCAATGAACCCTTTCATTGCACAAAGAGGCAACTACACTTAAACCCAACATGGAACATATCCCTCATCCATTAATCACTCTGTATTCCAACCAACAAAACTGTCCATACCACTTTGATGAGAAGCACATAGAGTTTCCATTCTTGTGAGTGCAGGGAAAAACCTGCACATTTGGCTCTGAAGGTGGTTCATCAACCGCAGGTAAATCGGCGGGAGAGAGCCCTGGCATTGAGGAGCAAGCGACCCGGCTAACCGTCTGGTGGGCTAATGAAGTTGTGGGCTGGGTGGGCTCTGTTGATGAAGGCAGTGGCATGTCTTCTTCCTCAACTCTTGCGCTTTAAAAACAACACATTAGAGAACTTTGTTTAGCCATCGCTACGGCCTTAACATTTCATCAGCTGAAAAACCGGCTAGCTAGCTGCTGCAGGTCGGCCACAGACTGTAGGAACCATAGCAACCAATTACGTTCCCGAGGTTTCCCTCAAGAGCGGCATAGTGGACAGTGGTTAGCACTGTCACCTCACAGCGAGAAGGTTCTGGGTTCGAACCCAGTGCCTGGGGCCTTTCTGTGTGGAGTTAGCATTTCCTCCCTGTGCCTGTGTGGGTTCTCTGCGGGGGGCTCCGGCTTCCTCCCACAGTCCAGAGACATTAATTGGTGACTCTAAAGTGCCCATAGGTGTGAATGGTTGCACAAGTGGTTGTTTATCTCTATGTGTCAGCCCTGTCATAGACTGGCGACCGCCCTCGCCCTCACCCTTGCCCAAAGTCAGCTGGGATTGGCTCCAGCCCCCCTGTGACCCTACAAAGATAAGCGCTATAGATAATGGATGGATGGATGTGTTTCCCTCAACTTGTTTCAAAAAATCTGTTTCAATTAAAGGACAAATTAAGCACAGAGACACATACGTCACCTATGAACCAAGTTTTTATTTACTTTATATACATTTTTATATTTTTTGGTAATAATGAGTTTTGATTAAACTTGGCTGGGTCCGAGCCCATTACTGGCTACGTGGCTGCTATACAGTGTGTTCGTGTGTCATCTTCGTCCTTTTTGTCTCTGTATACTGACTATGACACTGTGAAGTCCCTATTTCCTCTCAGTCCGGGTCCAGCAGTCAGACTGAATAAGACTTAAAACACCGAGGTATGAATCATGAAGCTGTGCTGAGAGCAGCTATAATATTCTCTGTCATCCACCTGTCAGAACAAATGATACAGTGAACTCCCCTGTGACTGAGAACAACAACAAAACAACAACCGGAGCGACGATACCAACACGACGCTGCTGCTTCACTGTGTTGGCTCCAGGCTCCGTTCGCTCTGACAGGACACAGACTGATGTTAAACACACACATACACAACCTGCTGACGCTCTCACACACACACACACACTGCTGTACTTGACCCATGCACTCAGGAGCCAAGAAAACTGGAGTGTGTGTATGTGTGTGTGTGTTTGTGTGTGTGTGAGAGAGAGTAAGTGTAAAAGAGAGGGTGTGTGGAAGTGAGTGTACCACACACTGTCAGAGTGTGATCATAGAGCTCATTACACGATTGGATGCTTTTCCTATCGATCCACTGGGACAGTGAGAGAGGGAGAGAGAGAGTCAGCAGTTAAAGAGAGAGAGGAGGGAGGGGGAGGGAGGGAGTGTTGTGATGCAGGAGAGGAGTGCAGGGCTTTCCTGATCCTGGATGACTCATTCAGTGTTTCTGGGACTTCCACCCCCACATCTCCTCTCACATGCAAAGAAGGATGAGTGAGTGGTACATAGACCTGGTCCTGGTCCACAGGGTGTGTGGATGCTGTGATGTGACCTCAGACTGACAAATAAAAAAATAAAATATTGCAAAAAATGACACTGATGTTGCATTTAGAAAGACACACTTCTTGTTTAAATAACACCTGTGTGAGCACGCACACAAACACAAACACACACACACACACACACACACACACACACACAGCTAACTCCACCACCACAGAAAAAAGTTTGAACAAAATTAAAAAAAGGCACAGAAACAGTTTTTAGATGCGGACATGACAGGTCAGCGTTCAGACACACGACCCTGTGATCAGCTGTCAGTCACTCAGTCAGTAACATCAGACACTTCACACCTCCACCTGTGAAACACTGAGACCCTACAGGAACAACGTTACAACCACAGTGTCTCAAACATGATCTGTGAACGTGTCACAGTCTGACTCGGGTTGATGAAGTGACCTCATGAACAGCGGCTCTCTAACATCGGTCCGGGACCTACCTGCTCTGCCAGCCCTGGAACAGGTTCGTGTATTTCTTCAGGACCCCCTCCAGGTGCCGCTTGCTGCGGGCTGTTTTGTGGTGCGTGGGGCCGGACCCCGCGCGGCTGTCCCTGGTCCTGGACCCCAGTCGGTGCTGAGCAGCATCCAGGCTGTGTGACTGGCCGCCTCGGTGCTCCTGCCTCCTGCAGGGGCTCCAAGCGGGGCTCTCCTGACGCGCTGACCGGTTCATGTTGCTGCTGCTGCGGCTTGTGCTCGTGGCTGCTCTCCGTCCGTTTCCACCCTGAGGTGAGATGAGCAGTGGTCCAGCAGCCTGCCCCGACACCGAACTGGAGGGTACCCCGACTAACTGACTGCGGTCTCTCCCTCTCTCTCTCTCTCTCTCTCAATCTCTCTCTCTCGTTCTCTCTCTCTCTCTCTCCCTCTCTCTCTCTCTCTCCCTCTCTCTCCCCCCTCTCTCTCTCACTCTGACGTTATTGCGTTTGTTATTTTGGAAATCCCGGGTTGGTCACTCCCCCAAGCCTGGGATACTCCCCCTTCAGTGGCCACAGGGAATCAATAATGCAGTAAAAGCTCCGAGCATCAGGCTGAGAACCAGACTGTGGTTGTGTTTAATTCCTGTAATATTATAGAAACGTCAGAGCAACACACTGAAATAATAGCAGACAGTGTTCTGCATGAAGATACTGCTCCTGTTTGATTCACATTCATTATTCTCCCAATTACCAAACAGGTTTCTATGTTTTACACAGTTCCATCTGTATTGTAGATGAATTACCTGTCAGGTGTTTGTAAAGCTTTCACAAGCACCAGGTCTAATGGACTGAAGTTTTAACTGAAGGACTAAAAGATTGAATGATCAACCAAGTCAACTGAAGCAGTGCTACTATAATAATAACAATAATCTTGATCTTGATGATCATTTTATGTCGATTTCTTCATCGAAGCAGAATTATAAAAATAAAAATAAAATAAGCAGCTGGGAATCTAACGTGCGGTGTTTTTATTCTATCTAATGAAAGTAACTGTGCATTACGTGCATGCAGTTGTGATGAATAAGGAGGCTATAAGATATTCCTTCATTAGTCCCACAGTGGGGAAATGTGCAGGATTACAGCAGAAAAGTGACAGTACAAAGAAAGGAAACTGCAAAATGACAATAAAAATACTTTAAAAGATGAATAATATAATAATATAACATGTACGATTATATACTTAAACATAACAAAAACAAAAAAGCAGATGTGTGATATTGCACAGATGGTGAGTTAAATTATTGCACATGATGAATTGTCAGTCTTTGGTGTGTGTGGTCTATAAGCAGGTGATACAGTATGTATCAGGATTTAATGACTTGATTATCAGACCTGGACACACACTATAACTGCCCCTCCCCTCAGAGACACACGCTGTTGTACCTATATGAAGCAGCTTCATCAGGTATCAACACACACCAGGACCCAGTCTCTGCTGCATATCAATATTAACACATATCATCACAGATGATTCTTCCCATAATTCATTTCATCCTGTTATGTTCATAGCCTCACCCTTATGTAATCTGGGGGCTGCCATCTACGTCAACGTACAAAACTACAATTCTAAAACTACAACCCCCGACAGCCTAGTGTGCGACACATTCTGTGACGTCATCAGCAGACGACGCGGATCGTCGTCCCCGCGGTGTCTCCGTTGATTAAAGCGGTGTTCCCTGTAGAGAAGAAGAGCCGGAGCGGGCAGTTGAGCTCCGGCAGCATCATCCATGGCGTCTCCGCTCAAAGTGTGCATAGTGGGCTCCGGGAACTGGTAAGGTGGTCAGCTACAGGGGCCGGATGGAGTTAAGTGCCTTGTTCAGTGGCATCTGTGTGGAGGGTTTCTGGTTTTGAAGCAGGGGCGTTTCCAGCTCTGAGCTCTGCCTGATTACATTATCCCAGGTTAAACAGCTGGAGGGTGCAGCACCGAGAGAAACATGTAGCAAATTATTAGGAGCAGCCGTCTGACACTGACACAGTCCTGCAGCGAATCCTCCTTTGTGAACGCTGCAGCGCTCAGACTGTGTTGGAGCTGTTTCAGGTGTTGGTTCACCTGTGCCGTCACTGTCAAGGATGTAGTTGTACAGACAGATTTTCTCCTCAAATGCAACAAAATCAGCACCAAATCATCATCTGTCAGTTGTCAGTCACATGAGTTACTGTCAGGTTCGTTTACATCAGATCAGCTGTAGGCCACATGATGCAGTGATAGCGACTCTTCTGACAACAGAGCAGAAATAAACTAAACTTTTCAACAAACAGGAAATATGTTGCCATGGATACAGTGAGTTAAACTGTGGGCTTAAACTTGAGCCCCGTTTTTTTTAAAGACAATGTTTGTTTACATTTTGGACAATGAAATGAACGGAATCATGTATTTTAAGTTTATTTTAAGGTCTCTTAAAATTAAAGAAAAAATTGAAAATTAAATGAAAAGTTCTCTTTAAATTAATTTCTCTGGTTTCTAATCAGGTTTATGGAGGTTTATTTACAGTGGTGTCTGTGTGTTCAGGTCTGACTGAATCATGACTCAGATTTTTGTCTGGTTTTAGTCTCACATGTTTTTGGTACAAAGTGTGAGTTTTGGATGTTGATATTTGATGACTTGTTAAATGATATCATACAGGGCTGCACAATTAATCGAAAAATAATTGAAATCACAGTATGGTCAAGTGCAATATTCAAATCACAGGAGCTGTATTTTTTTTTTTTTAATAAAGGTAAGATGCATCACATTGTTGTGCATTGTTAGCACCATAAGCATTGTGTTGCTACAGAGACGCTCCGGCCTACAATTTGTATTCTCCAGATGTAAAGGAACATGTTTTTTTGATAGAAGACCCAACAAAAATCAAAACATCATAATTTTCAAATCTTTTTCAGTAAAAATGAAATGAAAAAACAACAATTCCAACTGAAAAAATAATCCAAGTATGATTTTTTTTTTTGATACAATATTTGAATAAATGTAACCAGTAATATAAGACATGAGGAGCTCTCAGCCCCTTTTATTTAGTCAAAGTAGCTCTCAGTAAAAAAGAACAACCCAGTTCAGCGTCACCACAGACTAAATCCTCCATCAACAAACCAAAAACAAATCAGTTCTCACTCTTGTTGTTTGTTATGATGAGAGCTCACAGCAGTTTAGGGTTCAGTGAGATGCTGATTAATCGTGTGGCAAAGTGTGGGCAAGTTGACCCCCTGACCCCCTGACCCCCTGACCTCCTGACCTCCCAACCTCTGCTGTGGTTTTACACGCTCAGCCATCGCCAGGATCATTGGAAACAATGCCAGGTCACTGCAGCGATTCGCCACCACAGTCAAGATGTGGGTGTTTGAGGAAAACATCAACGGCAGGAAGTTGACCGACATCATCAACATGGAGCATGAAAACATCAAGTACCTGCCTGGATACAAACTGCCAGAGAATGTGGTGAGAGACACGGTCCTCCCTCAGTCTTCATGAACCGACACTGTGCTCTGCAGAGCTCTGTGTCAGCTAACACTCATCAGAACTGCATTTAATATTTCAAATCACTGAAATGCTGCTTCTGTGCGACTAAACAGATGTGACTTTTTATCCAGATGCAGTTTGAACCCACATCAGCTGATCAGGGCTCACTGAGACCTCACCTCTGTCTCTGTTTATCCACAGGTGGCTGTCCCGAAGCTCTGCGATGCTGCCGAGGGAGCCGACCTGCTGGTGTTTGTTGTCCCTCACCAGTTCATCAGGAAGCTCTGTGATGAGATGGTGGGCTGCGTCTCCACCAGAGCTCGGGGAATCACACTCATCAAGGTCAGATCTCTTTCATTGAGTCATGCTGCTTGTTCTGCTTCACACCAGCAGCGCCACCCTGCACCACAGCACAGATGAACGCTGTGTGAATGTGTCAGAGGATAGTGTAACTGTTAGGTCTCAGAGGGACGGACGCCAGCTCAGTGTCAGTCCCTGTGTGTGTGAATGAGGTATTTAAAACTTCTGTGTCTGAGGCTACATCCACGCTGTTACATTTTCATTTTAAAACTCATCTCTTTTGCTACGTTTTCTCCTACTGAGTGGTGTGGACTCCAGAGTTTTCGAGCACCGAAAACGTAGATTTTTGGAAACCCTGCTGGACTTGTTTTGGAATGAAAACCCCTTATGAAACGATGACGCAGACACCCACGCTGCCTGATTGGGTCTCATCAGCCTCGACTACACTGCAGCTGTCTTCGCTGTTCCTCGTTCATAGTGTTTTTTGCAACTAATCAGCTGCAGAGTAGACAATCTGCTTCCTGTTTACACCGGCTTGCGCATGCTCAGTGTACGTGATTGCTCAGGTATGGATGTGTTTTCAGCTGTGACAGTCTGGATGGAGATCGTTTCTGATACAAAGCTAAAATGGTCGTCTGGACAGAGATTGTTTTTGTTTCAAAACGCTGTTTTCAAATAAAAATGTAGTAGTGTGGACGTAGCCTGAGCTACTGTGAACTGAGGCTTGTCCCTAACCTCATCTCAGAGTCAGCTGAGTGATGGCTCAACATCTGGAGCCTCAGCAGCTTCCATCATCTTAGCACTCTGACGATGACGATGTTCACTCATCTCACCGCTGAAGTGGAAATAAAATCATCCTGATTCTTTGATTCATCACTGTACCAGAGGAGATACTAGAAACTATAAGCAGCCACAGTTGAACTGATGGCTTCGGCGACTGTGTACATTCCAACATGTTGCCGTAGTAATGGAAATCAAAGATCACTAAGCAACATTTAACTCGGCTACTTCACTTCTTCAGGAAACCGAGGTCGCACTGAACATTGCTACAAATGTCTCTTAAAATGACTCGAGAGCTCTTGATATTTGCTTTAGAGACGATTAAATATCAAATGAGCAGTTTGTATAAATCCGTCTGTTACTTCAGCACCACGGACAGCGTCATGGTTTCATCAATACACAGGATGGCAGGTGAACAACAGTTTGTTCTGACGTCTGAATAAACTGGAAAAATCTGTCAAATTATCAGGTATCTTTAGCAAACATACTCAAAATCCATAAATACAGCAAACTAGTCTGTCTCCCATAGTAGACAGTTGGGCTGCAACGGTAGGAAGTGTCAACATAGACTCTACGGCATCGCATCACACCGTAGCCGTCACTTCAGCCACCGCTGCTTACAGCCTGTGACCAGTAGGTGACAGACAGCTCACCTGATGTCCTTGAAGGTTCTCACTCATACAGGTCATGATCATCCAAAAAGGGTTTAATCAAGTGCAGCTGGACTTGATTGTAGATACTTTCACCTCTGATCCAAGAGGCTTCCTCAGTTCTGACTGACAGGTGAGGAGACCCAGGCATTTAACCTCTGTGAGGTCGTTATCAAGGTCATTGACTTCTCCTGGTTCGTTAGTGCTCCTGCGTTAATGAAAGCCGTTGGAGTCACCTGAGGCCAGGTGTGAATGGAGGTTAAAGCTCCTGCACGACAGGTGGAGCATAAGCGGTGTGGTAGACCTCCTCCTCTGCTGAGGATTGTCTCTTCTCCTTCAGGTGTAGGTGAACTGCTGAGTCTTGGCCCTCCTGTGTTGAGCCATGTGTTTGTTTAGCTTCACATTCCCCGCTGCACTGGACTGTGCTCTTTAAGATGAACCAGTTTTTTGTCTCTGTGTGTTTCTGGGTTTAAAAACTCAGGGATGTGGTTCCTGTTGAAGATCCTCCTGAGTGTCTCTCAGATACTCAGACACATACTGTATGTGATGACGAGGTTGTTGCCTTTATTCTTTTCTTCTCCACCCTCAGTGTCGTGTTCTTCCTGGATCTTGTGGCTGATTTCACAAAGGTCCAGTTGTGTATCCACAGCTTTAAGCGTGTCCTTCAGGTGTTTGTGGAGATGGACACCTGTTGGTTCATTATCAGCTCAGTGTTCCAGGGTTCTGATAACTCCTAGCTTGTGTTCCTGCTCTGTGAGAGTCACTGGTCTGTGCGGGTGTGTTTCCTGTTCAGTCTGATGTGGAGGCTCCTGCCATCTTCAGTATGTACAGCACAGTCCAATAAAGCCAAGCTGCTGTTCCCCGATTTACCAGTCGACCTTCGTTCCAACCCTCACCTTTGCTCATGAGTTCTGGGTAGTCACCGAGGGGAATGAGGTCGTGGATGCAGGCAGCTGAAATGGTTTTCCTCCGAAGGGTGTCTGGGCTCAGCCTTAGAGATAGGGTGAGGAGCCCTGACATGGTGGAGGGAGCTCACAGTCGCTGCTCCTTCACGTTAAAAGG